TAAATACCTTCTATAGGTTATCACACAGACACAGTATGATAAAAAGACATTTCCTTTAGTAACTTGGAAAAGCCTAAAATTTTTAAAGTTTCTTTAAAACAAAACGTTTATTTATTTTGAGAGAGAGAGAGAGAGAGAGAGAGAGAGAGAGAGAGAGAGAGAATTCCAAGCAGGCTCTACACTGACGGCACAGAGCCCAATGTGGGGCTCGAACTCACAAAGCAGGAGATCGTGATCTGAGCCGAAACCAAGAGTCAGTCACTTAACTGAATGAGCCACCCAGACACCAAGGAAAGGCCTAAAATTTTAATACAATTAGCCACTGAAAAAAACATAAAATTCATCAACTTTCTTCAGAAGGGTTTAAGCAGGAGAGTAATGAACATGTGTGAGAGATACTACAAAAACGGTTCTTGTACCAAAAACACCTAATTCCTACTCTTAGGCAAGTTGAAATGGGTCATGTCTAAGACTCTGTGGTGTACTGTATAATTATTTTAAAATGTATGTAAATAAACTCATCATTTGAGTTGGGTATATAATGGGTACTTACATACACATCATTAGTGCAAGTATAAGTTGGCACTAGGTTTGAGGAATATAATTTAACAATACTTTTCAAAAGTCCTTAGAAGCTCTTACTCTTTGATCCAGTTAAGACATTCTTAGAACTCCACCCCAAGGAATAAGTCTTAAGTATAGAATTTTATCCAGAAAGGTATTCATCACATAATAAGCAAAGCTTAGAAATCTGAAGCTACGCGGTGTGGAATTAGGACTGATTTATATGATGGAATACTACTTTTTTACATTAAAGGGCTCTTCTGAGTAATGGTAAAAAGAAGGGGAAATGGCTATGGGGTACGTTCTGTTTAAAAAAGCAGGACGCAGAAGTGTATATATAGTGTGATGTCCACTGTGTGAAACCACATCAGATGAAGAGTAAATAAATATGCTCATTACATGAGTGAATAATTTGCTTTCTTCCTTATACAATCTCTACGCGCACAAGTTTCTTTTAAAGCCAGGGCGGGGAGGGGGCTGAAGATAACGGTTACAGAGGGGACTTGTGCTCTCTACTGTAGGTGTAACAGAGTTCCTGAGCGCCTGGGCGAGATGAGCTGAGCTCAGGCTATTTCACCCTGGCGTGGGGACGTACCCTCAGGCATCTCTCCAGCCCCTCAAGTGCCTTCCCGGCCTGTAAGGGGAGGACCCCAGCTGGGGCCCGGCCAAGCCCTGGCGAGGGGGAGTGGCACGGTAGCCACTGCTACAATACTGCCCAGCAGACCGGTCCAACACAGGGATCAAAATGAGACCAGATCAGCCACCATTCTCGAGAGCGATCCCATTTTGCCTTAAATTCCTGTTCCTTGATTTCAACTTCGGCCACAAGAAGGACTTTCGGCCCCTGAGTCTGTCTAGCATCATGCAGATTCTTAACCCCACAGAATTCTCTCCATCCAGCAAGAGGATTCCAACTCCCCCTCTCCTGACTTCCACACCCTGCCGCTCACTCTGCCCCATGGACACCGCCGGCCCTACCCCTACAACACCCTCACCTTCTTCCCTGGGTACCCCAACCCCTCCTTCTTTAACCGAAAGCCAGGCTGTCCCCTGAACCCCCTCTGTAGGTGGCAGCCATTTTTTCTCCCACACCCCCTATGCCACAGCTGGTTCCAGATCTTTCCCCTCAATCAAAGCTGGCTACAAATTTGAAGGATTAGCCTGGAGTCACCTGGATAATTCTCCTATTGCTGCTCTAACAAGTCACCACAAACTCGGTGGCTTAAAATGACACAAATTTATTACAGTCGTGGAGCTCAGAATCCAAAATGGGCCTCTGTGGGCTAAAATGAAGCTGCCACAGGGCTCCATATCCTCCGGTCCCTGCCTTTCCAGACGCCTCTTCTGCATTCAGGGACCCTTCCCCCACCTCCAAAGCCTGTGGCTTCTCTAGTCTCTCTGCTCCACCACCGCCATCACATGGTCTCCTCTGACCTCCTGCCTCCCTTCGCAGAGGCACCTTGGTGATGGTGTCTGGCACACCCAGACGACCTCGCCATCGCAAGAACCTTCATGTAATCACATCTGCAAAGTCCCTTCATCAAGAAGGCAACATATTCATATTATTCTGCTTACCAGACCATTCCACTCTCTGCATCTTACTAAGACCAGCTACTTACCTGCTGGGCATCCTTTCCTGTCACTGGTGGAACAGGCAGCACCAAGGCACCGCCTTTCTCACACCATCATGGTATCTACCATCATGCAACACACACACAGAAGGACCATCCATCATGCTGATCTCTCAGTTCTTCACTGCTGTCATTTCTGAAGAACTTTTCTTCATCCCAACTCTGTCACCCCCTTCCATCATTATGCCCTAGAGACTTTGACAAAAATCCCACTCTTAACTGTCCTGCCATGTCCCTGGCCCACCGGCTTAATGACCGAGGCCACCACATTGTGCTGCTGGGGCCGTGCAACCAAGCAGTCCTGCTGACGCACCCCAAACAAAACCTGACTTCCATCAAGATCTCCAGCCCACGGACCAACAGAACATCTCTACTGGCCACTCCTCTGTCCGTGTCCTACCCCAACCTCTCCCCAGTTTAGATTCCATGGTCCATCACTACAGTCATGCTCTCACAAGCACCCCTAACTCCCTAGTTCCCCTCTCCCTCTATCCCACAACCCGGAGAGCCCAATATCAATTAACCCAATGTTCTACCCCCACCTCACACACAAACAGCTTAACATGATTCGTGAAAGACACAAGAGTGAGATCACTCATTCCGACTTTACAATGATGAATCCCCAAATCTCTCGCAGCCATAACTTCCTAGGAATCTAGACGCCTACACACAACAAGTACACCAAGTGCCTAGGACGTGGTTTCTAAATTCCATCCTCTACTAAAAGGGAACCAAGACTCCTTGAATGAGTGGTTGATTCCACCATAAAAAAACAAGATGAGCCTAGAAAATGTACCTGTTCAAAAAGTAAGCGCTCACAATGATGGAGGCATGACAGAAAGGCACTGGACCCCGCCTGAAGGGGCTCACACTGACGGAATCCTGGGCAGTTTGAGCACCAAGATAATGAGTGGCGGTAGCAGATACAACACATAAGGAAATGGAAGGGAAGGAAAAGTCCCTCCTTATGACAGAATGCCTGCTAGTAAGTGTGGAAGGAATGACGGTGTTAAAAAAAATCACCCCCACAGCACGATGGCCGATTGAGGTGGCAGTCATCAGCGGGTGCTCACGTTGGCGGGAGGATTTGCTGAGGAACAGAGTACTGGCACCGTCTTGCAGTATCCTCTCCCAAATACTGATCAGCTACGAATGGCAAACTGGTGACCAGGTGACCAGGGCTGACACTGCCAGTGGTGGAACAGGTAGACACGGTGTGTCTCCTGATAAGACTTGCTAAGAAGAGAACACTATCAATTCTGTGGGGTTTCTGCCAAAATTCCAGCCTGAGTGTGGACAGGAGGAAACCCTGGACAGACCCAGGCTGAGGAGCATGCTGGAAAATGAAAGGCCTGAACTCTTGACAAGTGTCCACAATGTGAAGACAGGGGGAAGACCAAGAAACTGATGAAGACAAGAAGAGACAGGAGATACAGCCAGGAGAGGGGACTTGTGGATGCCGGAGCAGAAAGGAGATGGCGGAGGTTGGGATGGACACTGAAATGTGAACAGGAAACAGTGTTGCATTAACACTGATTTCCGGATTCAGACGTCTATTGTGGTTATGCAGGGCGTGTTTTTATGGTTTTGTGCATTTCAGGGTTTTATGTTTCTTAACAAATGCAAACAACTTCACAACCTTGCCCATCTAAAAATCCTCCACCTTGAGGACAAATCCTCCACTGACAAAAAATCCACACTCTTTCTTGTGCCCCATGAGGCCCTTGGTTTGCCCCTGCCGTATCTCCAACTTCATCTTCTTCCACTCGCTCCCTAGTTGACTACCATCCGGCTCCCCGATCTTCCCACCACCCCTCAGACGCTCCACCGGAGCTCTGCTCCAGGCCTCTCCGCCGGCTGCTTCCTTCCCTACACTGTCCTTCATTCCATCACATGGATCAGGCCTCTGCTTGGACAGCACCTCTCCCAAGAGGCCTTCCCTGACCACACCCCACGTCTTCGTTCTGTCTTCACAGGCTAACATCATCTTGTAGCTTTCTACTGGGTTCTATTTATCTGCTTACTGTCCGCCTCCTACACTGGCAAGTGGTTCTGCCAGGGGCATCATATTCACCACAGTATTCCCGTTACTTACACACCTCACACTATGGGTATTTAATAAAGATTTGCTAAATTGACACGTTAACAGAAACGTGTACATAACAAACTTTTGTCAAAGAGAAATATCATCATCTAAAGATGTAGATTCACTCACTATAAATGGCAAAATAACAGTTAGTGACCACCAGCAACATTAAGAACGGACCCCCAGACCCGAGGTGTGCCAGCGAGAACAGAATTTATGTAATTATACAATACTAAAACTGAAGATAGATTTATAGCAATTGAAATGACAACCTGCCATGTGAACATTAACAAAGGTAAGCAGACAAAAGTCTCAAGAATAAAGACTTTCAGAGGTGCCCAAATGACAGATACCTTCCTAGTAATATAAAGCTAAGTCTGGAAGACATACCCAGGATGCAAAACTGCATACTCCAATGGTTTGCATATGCATCAGGAATGAAAATCAAGCAAATAAAAGACCATCCGTGGCTCCGTGGGGCCATGGAAAAAAGAAAAAGAAATAGAACCAGTACACAAATGAGACAGATTGATGGCATGGAGGAAAACCTGACAAAAATAAATGGGACTGCAGGAAACACAATCATGATGGTGAAAAAGAGAAATGAAAGCAACCATCTCATCCCGCAGTCCAGAGCAAAGTGATGGAGGAAACTACAGCAACTAAAAATAAAAATTCCACCAAATAATTATCTGTAGACAACGAAAAAATTTCCAAATATATATGGAATATGTATAGTCACATTACTGAATATGGGGAAAATAAACGATATAAAAAAGAGGCTGATAAGATCTCAATCTAAAAACAATCATTATTAAATGGAAGTTGCAT